AATTTTTTGGTAATCTGACCTCTATACACTGTTTTAGACCTAACTTTTAGTAATAAACTCTGATTTAGGCAAAGCCTAATCCGTTTAAAAGTATACTCAAATTTGATACCAAGATTGAATGATTTGGCGTTTAAATGTCTATTATGACTTCTGTTTCAATTAACCCTATAGATTCTGCAAAATAGGGACTGTAATTTCTGACCTCTTATTGCTTAACTGCTTATAACATTCTGCTGAGAACTCAGATTCATACAAAGTATGATTTATTAGAAACTAGACTCAGAAAGCTTTCAAATCAACTCTGTGAATTCTACAAAACAGAGGTAATGTTCTCTGACATTTGGTTACTGAATTATTTATAACTCCTTGTTGGAAACTCCGATATTTATAAAACTTGAGTTATCAAAAATTAGATTGATACATCTTTCGAATAACCTCTATTTTGTGCAAATTGGGGCATAATTGATTATCTGAATAATTCATGCAATGTGCCTCTCAAATTCTGTCAGAATCGAGCCTTGATTGATTTCACCTATTTTTGTTTAATCTCTTTGAAAATTGATTTCAGCTAAAATCCTTACTTTAGTTAAGCTTTACATTATTGCTTCAAATTCATGTATACTCTTATCCTACGAGTATTTACATACCTTGATCTGTTATGTAAACTTCATGTTTGTATCGTAATGTTTCGTATAGGCACATGCATTCCGTTGTTCCGCATGTGTTTCCGATATATCCCAATTTATTGTTCATAATACCTTTTGTACTATGGTATTTGTGGGATTATATGGACCTTTGCGAGAAATGATAAAGGGTGTATACTTAGAGCCCGCAATGCTCTAGATTATGTTTGGTGGTCATACAGAAATGGATGAATCATATTATGTTTGGGATCCCACTTCACCTTCTATCTATTTGATATGATATCTAGAGCTTTGGTTATGTACTTCTATATCTGCTCTGGATAAGAATGAAATATATGCAACGTCAAATGCGACGTTTGAGCTTCTGTTTCGTATTTATTCTTTGATATGTTTCGAAATACTATATGCTCCAAAATGTTTCATATGTTATTGATATCTGAAATACTCCTTACGTCAATAATATGCTCTAATTAGCCCTTAATCTATTGTTATAAACAAAACATGCTTAGAATGAAATGACATTGTAACTCTGCATTCGTCGAGTGGCTATCTTTGAACTTTTGTATCTCTGCCTTGTATTTTGAAACTTTATTTGTTCGAAACTGTCATCTTTGCTATGAATATGTTAGTCGCTTGTTGAGTTCTATGTGCTCACCCTGTTGCTATATAAATTTTTCATGATAGCTTGTCGCTCGTTAGAATATTTAAATTGAGCTACAACAGTGGAAAGCTAGAAGGTTTTGAGGTAAATCTTTCGTACTTAATAGGTTGATGTTGTATAAGTTCTTTTGTGTGTGATGAAATATCAACGACAACTCTAGATTGATATATCTTGTAAATATTTAAAAAGTACCTCTCATGTTAGAATTTTAGGAATGTTAAGTTAAAATTATGTAATGATATAAACATGTGGTACATATTTGTTTTGTAATTGTATAGATTCCCACAACTATGAATTTATAATGTGGTTATGGTTTAGTTGATTTGGCTTTAGATTTTATGAATTACGTGATATGATGGTATGATTATATACTGCACAGGTTTTATAAATTATGGAATATAAAGGTAAATTTTGACTTGAACGTTTTCTCAGTATCCTCAAATGTGTGTTTGGATCCTGGAATATTTTGTTGTTGATTAAAAATTCGGTGGGACGTGACAGATATGATATCAGAGCATGGTTTGAGGATCACTGAGATATTTAATTTGTTTTATGTGCAAAATACATTGAGGATTAGTAAATTATATTGAGGACTACTAAACTATAGTAATTAGTGAAAATTTTCTTGATGTCTTTTAGGAATCTAAGATGTCGAGAACATTTGGTCCTCCTACTTCATCTGCTTTTGATTAATTAAGGAGGATGAAATGGTTGATCGAGGATATTAAATAAGAGTTGCGCAGCGGAACATGATGAACCTAATTCATTGATAGCAAAATAGTGGTAGAATAATGAGTGATATGAATAAAGAAGACCCAATGATATTGATGGCCTCGATCTAGGTGCAATTTTGATATTATATTTTCATCAAAGGAGATATGATAAATTTAGAGGACTAAAATTTTCTTTCAAGGAGGGGAGAGTGTAACATCCCTCATTTTTTAAAAATTTATAAGGGCTTATTTGTAATGTAAGGACCTAAGAGTAAATATTAAAAATTTGATATGATTTATAAAAGATTCAGATTTAAGTTGAAGAAAAAAAAATGGTGGACATGTGTCACTGGCTAACCTAATGGTGCCGCCTAAGTTTATTCTATGGATGACACCTAAGCCCCTTTCATGCATGCTTGCCATATTGCAATCCTTATATTAGCTAAATCTAATAAATTAGAGGAGAAATAAAAGGATGAAAACTTCCGAAGCTTGCAGCTCATGTAGGTTTGAGATGAGAAGGGAAGAGGAATTGAAGAAGAAGAAGAAGAAGAAGAAGCTTTGTCTTGTTTAAGGTTTTGCATCAATTCCACACCTTTGGGACTCAAATTCGTTTAAGGCAAGTGTTCTAACCCCTTCCTATAGAAATTCTAATCTCTGTTTTCATTTTAATTCTTCATAATTCGAAAGATTTCAGCTTAGCACCAAACCTTTCTTTCATTTTGATACAAAGCCATGAATCTATAATTTTTTGGTAATCTAACCTCTATGCACTATTTCAGATCTAACTTTTAGCAATAAACTCTGATTTAGGCAAAAACTAATCCATTTGAAAGTAGACTCAAAGATCTTTATTTTGATACCAAGATTGAATGATTTAGAGTTTAAATGTCTATTATGACTTTTATTTCAATTAACCCTATAGATTCTGCAAAATAGGAACTATAATTTTTGACCTCTTGTTGCTTAATTGCTTATAACATTCTGCTGAGAACTCAGATTCATGCAAAGTATGATTTATTGGAAACTAGACTCAGAAAGCTTTAAAATCAACTATGTGATTATCCGAACAATTCATGCAATGTGTCTCTCAAATTCTATTAGAATCGAGCTTTGATTGATTTCGCCTATTCTTGTTTCGTCTCTTTGGAAATTAATTTCAGTTAAAATCCTTACTTTAGTTGAGCTTTACATTATTGCTTCAAATTCATGTATACTCTTGTTCTATGAGTATTTACATATATGTTATGTAAACTTCATGTTTGTATCGTAATGTTTTGTATAGGCATATGCATTTTGTTGTTGCGCATATGTTTCTGATATGTCATAATTTATTATTCACAATATCTTTTTGTACTCTGGTATTTGTGTGATTATTTGGACCTTTGCTAGAAATAGTAAAAGGATTATATGGACCTTTATCGAAAATGGTAAAGGGATTATGTGGACCTTTGTCAGAAATGGTAAAGGGTGTGTGCTTAGAGCCCGCGATGCTCTAGATTATGTTTGGTGGTCTTTCAGAAATGGATGGACCATATTATGTTTGGGATCCCACTTCACCTTCTATCTATTTGATATGATATCTAGAGCTTTGGTTATGTACTTCTATATCTGCTCTGGATAAGAATGAAATGTATGCAACGTCAAATGCGACGTTTGAGCTTCTGTTTCGTATGTGTTCTTTGATATGTTTCGAAATGCTATATGCTCCAAAATGTTTCATATGTCATTGATATCCGAAATACTCCTTACGTCTTTGATATATAATGAAATATTCTATATATCATGAATATGCTTCGTATGTCATTGATATGCTCCGAAATGATTTATCTGTCATTGATCGTTAGTCGCTTGCTGAGCTCTATGTGCTCACCCCGTTGCTATATAAATTTTTCATGATAGCTTAGCGCTTGCTAGAATGTTTAAATTAAGCTACAACAGTGGAAAGCTAGAAGCTTTTGGGATAAATATTTCATACTTGATAGGTTGATGTTGTAAAAGTTCCTTTGTGTGTGATGAAATATCAACGACAATTCTAGATTAATGTATCTTGTAAATATTTGAAAAGTACCTCTCATGTTAGGATTTTAGGAATGTTAAGTTAAGATTATGTAATGATATAAACATGTGATAAATATTAGTTTTGTGATCGTATAGATTCCCACAATTATGGATTTATGATATGGTTATGGTTTAATTGAGTTGGCTTTAGATTTTGTGAATCATTATGTGATATGATGGTATGATTATAGATTGTACAGGTTTTATAAATTATGGAATATATAGGTAAATTTTGATTTGAATGTTTTCTCAGTGTGAAATATATTATTGTTGATTAAAAATTCGATGGGACATGACAGATCGCCTGAGAACCATCGCCCCCATATGATTGTATCCGTATCGACCTCATGGTGGTCGACAGATCGTTCCCGTGATTGCCGAACAAAAAAAAGAGAGGAATGACCTGATCTTCGTTCTGCACATCTGCTCCTATCTGACGTTCAACGTGAAGGCCCTACTCGACGTTAGAATATTCCCTTATCATGTTCCATATGCATACGAAAGAAGAAGGATTGAAACGAAGGCCAGCAACCTCCCTTGTGATCGGTGCAGACTAACAACATATTCTATCAAAAAGTCAAAAAGTCAGAATGATGTAGTTGATAATGACCGTTAGGATTATAGTCACTCCTGGGCTTAGAGACTCAGCATGCTTGTGGGCTTTCTTTCTGCGGCCTGCCAATGATCGATGCAAACGTTAGATTTCTCTACATGGACTCCTACGTCTGCTTTAAAATGCCAAAAGAATCTTATTTAGATGGGAAGCTGATACGATGGATATTCCAAAATCTTTAAAAGGAATCAACGAAGCGCATATCTCTTCTCGCGATAGGATAGATATTTCCAAGATTTCAACATCAACAAATCCTAACAAATCTCCTTAAAAGACTAATATACCCCTCCAACCAATTAAGTATCACTAACAACTTTATCGCCCTTTCCCTTTTCGTTTCCCATCCCTAAATTTCCAAGTACCTACGGTGGCTTGCAAGGGAGGAGGAGCTGCCCTGGCGTGGCACTGTAGGTCGCTAGTCGTGTGGGCGGCCGGCGACGGACACGGCTTCTCGTCAGCGGCCGCCAGTTGCCGCTCGTCTAATTTTTCTCCGCCGCGAAACTTTTTCGCGGCGAATAGGGTATGCCCCATCGACTCCTTAACTTTGATACTTGTTAATTGATGCTGGCTGGTTTGTGAGATCCATTGACGAGAGAAGTTTCGAGTTCAATTATAGGTGTTTGTGTATTTGTAGGCGAGGATAGGCGAGGACGTTGGAGGTGCCAGGGGTGCCCTCCAAGCAAGCGGAGGCTATCACGCCGGTCATCATCGAGGTTTGGGTTTGGATGAACATTGATGTTTGTTCGGTCGTCTTTCTTGGTTCGCATGTGCTGATTGTCTTAATGTTATTGACAGCGTGATGATTCAGGATGTCAATCTCTCCAAATTCATCTTGGAAATGAAGAGCTCCCAGGTGTGACTTGTTTGATTTTATCTCATATGATTCACAATATAGTTATATCAGATTATACTTGTGAGGCAGTAGGGCATGTACTCGCTTTTTGTAGTCATCAAAATAATAAGGTAATATTTGATGACACTGAGTAGACTCTGTAATTTTTTTTTTTGGTGGACTGTTTTACCATCAATATCAGAGATTATATGCATCCTGATTGCAACTGAAAACGTATGATTCACTAAAAATTAGAAGGATAAGACAGGCATCTTAGGGTAGGACTATAGCTAGCATTATTCAATTTGAAGAAGACCAGTTATAAGACTTCTTTACTAGCGCTATCTAGTCATCACACCAGAGAAAATTCAACACAAGCCCTTAATAACAAGGTTGTCATTCACAGCCAGTTGGCAAGGAAGGTTCCATGCCATACTTACTATGGAGCATATAGGATAGGGGAAATGGTGCTTTATTTATGCTGTAACATATTTCTCAATTATTAATATGGAAATGTGATTTACATTAGGAAATAAAAAAATCATTTGAATAATGTTGATAGGGTAGAACTTTTAAATTGCAATATATGTTACGATCTGCATATCATGTCATAGTCATTAATTAGTTGCTTTGATGAGGATCTTATTCCAGATCAGCAGTTGACTGCTGCAGTTGTCATGCAAGGTTCTTGACATGTAGTCAATGAGAACATAATATTTTGTGATGTTCGAATACATTTCCATCCATATAGGGTTATTTAAGGCTGTTCTTCTTTTACTAGATCTTTTAATGCTTTGGTGATTGTGTTCAACTCACTGCAGTTTTGCATTCTGCTTTCAGTTATAGTAAATTGAAGATTTATCCCAACTTTTGATAAATAAAAGTATCTAATGCCAATAGAATCTCTGGTTGGTTGTTAACTTTTCTCAAATCCGTTATGTGGTAAACAGTCACAGTTATTACTCGACTCCTTCAAAACCTGGCTAAACAGTCATGGATTCAATACTTGCTGCATTGGGTTAATTTTAGTATTTCAACATTTAACTGTTTCAAAATCATGGATTCAATACTCGACTACATTGGCACCTTTGTTTCTTCTTGTGGCTGTTTGTTGTTTGAGAAAGTTCCAGATGCTTGCCTATATTGTCTCACATATGTCATCCATTTGAGAAAATTTTACTAAGCTAATTTATGAAATCCAACCCAGCACTAGAATTGGGTAAGAATTGTGAGGGTTAGATTCTTCGGACATCACTTTATTTGGCCTAAAAATTTGGCCATTCGCAGCCGTCTATCTTCTTTTTGGCATATTGCATTCTCTATTTTTTTTGTAAATTATCAAAAAATTACCTTTTCTTGTAGCACCTACTTGATAGTTGAGCTTCTTAGGAGCTTTGACCTCTAAAACTACTGAGAGATGGTCTTTGTTTCCAGTTCACAGTCCATCCCTCTCAGGTATCTCTCTGGCAACTCTTTTGAATTAAACGTGTGTTTTCACTGTTTCTCCATTTCAATAGTTTTAATTACATATATGGAAGAAAAGTGTTATGGTAGCAACAAAAGCAACAGAACAACATCTTTATGATTTGGGGTCAACTACATTAACCTTTCCCCCTTGTTGTCTGCTGAAAGTAATATCACTAATCAAACTAGGAGCCGTCAAACGTCTGCTTAATTGCTCCTAATTGATTTCAGTAATACAAGTATAATTGCTAATGTTGTGTGTTTGTAGTCTTCTATTACAATTGCTTTTAGATCAAAGAACTTATGAAAATTTATGTTGTCGAGTGTGAAATTCCCAGTGCACCAAAATGGAAGGAAGGAAAAAAAGATATATTCCATTCAAAATCATAAATAGGCAATGGGAAACTGTCATATCTTTTGGCTCAGCATAGCACCTCCATTCCCCCATAAAGTTAAACAAATAAATAAAAGATCCTAGCTCCACCCTGTTAGAAGTTCACAGGCTCTGATCATCTGATTATGTCACCTTTTTAAGATACTTGTACATAGAAATTGTTAAATCCTTATCATTCCTTGTCTAGAACTAGCAAAAAAATTAGCTTTTTGATTCTTTCTTATGACGAGCTTGGGCATCAAAGCATTGAACCAAAATCACTCGGCAAAAGTTTTCTGAAGCCTTTTAGTTGTATACATGTTATCATACATGGTATAGGCTTCAAAGCGTTGAACCAAAATCACTCTATGAAGGATTTCTGTAGCCTTTTAGTTGTATACATGTTATCATAACTGGTATGAAGCTAGTTAGGTTTTAAGTTGTTGTCTTTCTTATGCTATGTTTATTAATGACCAATCTCTCTGTTTTTTAAAATTATCGCACGACAATGCATCGTGAGGCCAATGAACTTGTTAGTCACCAATCTTTGTTGGGCACTCTTCAAATTTTGTACGCATGTAAGAGTATTTATTTATCTTCTTGAAACTTATTTTGTCTTATCGCAGGAGCATCAATTTGCACATTTGCAACGAGAGAATGACAAGTTTCGGGCTGATACTGAGAACAAGCATAGCGATCTTCGAGCTGATATTAAGAAATTGAGTAACGAATTGCAACTGGAGTTTAAAAAATTGTATAGCACAGGTTGAAAAGTTATACTGAGAAATTACGAAGTGAAACGAGGACAGGGATCGTAAAGCTTAGGGTCGAGATTGAGAAATTACATAGCGAAGCGAGGGAACAGAAAATTACTATTTCGATATATGTAGTTGGTTTTACGATTTTTATAAATTATGATGTAAACTGTTTTCTGTGTCCACAAAATATACATCAATTATGTAAGATAAATTTTACTTGATCATTCTAATGCTAAAAGCTGGTCTTTTTTCTTTCATTGTATTTTATGTGTGAGAAGAATTCTCCTCGCTAAAACCAAAACTAGTCTTGTTCATGATGTAATCGTATGTCGTATGGATCACGGTGGAGTGTCGTGTTTCAGTCGAGATGGGGAGCACAGATCGGGCGAATCTGACTCCATTATATCATCTCTCACCCCCCGGGCACGAGGGAAATAATGTTCCCTGTTCAGACCGAAGCGGGTGAATCCCCACCACCCCCGACAAATCGCAATGCGCCAAAGCAAGTTGTCGACATCAGAGCGGGAACAGTGACGATGACGCTGATGTGGTATTTGTCCGCTCGATCCATTGGCTAGATTTTGGAGACCTGCACAGTCTACTAACTCACGGAGAAGCTTTCCACTGAAGCTATGACGGCCCCACGATCTCGCAATCTTTTCTCGCATCTCTCCACCCACCCGAAGCATGCATGCACAGCTCTCTTCGTCCCTCCCAAAACAAGCACAAGACCCACTAGGATTGAGAGCAACAGCAGAGCAGAGGGAGAGAGAGCATGGCCCGCCATCACATGGGGTACTTTACGGCCCATAGGGAGGGTCCGGACATGGCTCCCACTGCCGTCCTTGCGTCGCCTCCTCACCACCCCGTCCGACGTAAATGCGGTGGGTGAGGAGACAATCGTGTAAGCTTAGCCTTCCTATTGTCACTCTCTCGCTCTCTCTCTTCAAACCTTCTGCACCATGTTACTCGTAGGTTGATCATTCCATTCTCTCTCTCTCTCTCTCTCTCTCTCTCTCTCAGCCTCTCAGCTTGTCTCCACCAGAGCTTGATGATCTGAACTCTTCGATGGATCCTGCCTCAAAGTACGTGCTGCCGGCTTGATGGACGCTGGCGACAATCCATTCCAAGAACACCTCCCAAGCGAAGTTTTGATCGAACCTGCTCGATGCGTTTGTCTGTACTAAACGGGTGATTCCACTCGAATACATGCGCGACAAAAGTCTATGAGATACATCGATGCTTCCATCGATACGGTTCGAAGATAAACTCCACCTCATTTTGCCTCATGTAGTCTTCTTGGGGTAGTGATAGAGTGCTCATGTTGGTGCATATATGTATCTCATTTAAATCAATTTCTGTAATAGGAATGTTGTGTAATCATCTTATGTCCAACATTCTCTTTTGGAGTTGAAAAATGTTCTATCTGTTGAATTTAAGATTGGCGTGAGAATCTTAATTTGAATCTCAAATTCGACTTATCATTAAGTAGAAATCTACTTTGTCATGTCCATCACATGCATCAAGGCATCAGATGAGAGTGAAGACAGAGGGTATAGTCTTTTAATTTACATTAAAATTAAAAGATTGATTACTTAGATAGTAGTCCATAAGATTTCACTAATAGAAATCAGAGCATTAATTCATCATCAATTCGCAATGTGGAACTATTGGAGCATCTCATCAGTTCATCAATCCTTCCTGCTCACTGTGGACCTATTGAAGACCACACAGCAGTAGAAGAAAGGCTTCCCTAATTCTGCAACACATCAGAGAAAATTGCAGTGGGAATGTCCATTAACACCATGTTTATGCAGGGTTTAGGTGCATGTATAACACGTCATATTGCTCATGAGAATGCATTCCTTGCCACATGAAGCTAAGATATATTTCCATCTCTGGTCCCTATTTAGATAGCTTGCAAAGTTATTACTGATGCTGGTTTGCCCCAGATGGCAGAAAATATTTCATGGCAATGGCAGGAGCACAACAAATACCATCAGTAATAAGCACACACATTTCATTCTTCCAAATGCATGCTTTCTGTATTTAAGTAGTAATACCAATGAAACAATGTAAGCTTTCATCAACAGTTCAGTATGTTCAATATAGGTGGTTGCAAGAGTCAAGCTATCTGTAATTGAAGTTTGGAAGTGTGCCTGAATTCCCAGAAAACCTCACTTTCACTACATATTTCATGCATTACTAATGCTACAATTCACAACCATGTTCTGATTAGTATTTCCAATACCAAAAAGACAAAAAAAAAAGAAAGTACAATCTTATTTCTATGGTCAAAGAAGTACAATGCCATGAATAAAGGAACATCATAAACATTCTTAGACTATGATGATTAATTATGTTGGGTCTAAGTTCTTGGTGGTTCCAGAATAACATGAGGGTTCTCCCCTCTGTTATCATCACCAACAAAGTAAAAAGAGAAACCCTACTCAACAAGTTCCATCTGCTAGAAGTCCATAATAAACCCTTGAATCTAAGAAGTTAAACTGTGATGATCAAATGTCTCTAATATGACTTTCATTCTAAAGACAAAGCACAAAGGTATCTAAAATGAGTTAGCTAATCATGTCCATTGTCACATTTTTTAGCAACAGAAATAATCAAGGAAAATGACTAAATATAATGCAGAAGTATGTAAATCAAACTATTAAGTTATATCTGCAACAATCTTTTTCTAAGCTATAAGGGCATATAAAACATTGCTGGCACACACTAAAGATTATTCATATAAAATCAGCAACAAATCTTTAATTTGCAGCATACATAGTTATTAATATTTTGCAATCAAGGTCATGAATGATTGCAAAACCCTAGAATTTAGAGTTCTTTATAACTTACCAATGATTTTGTAATGTGCAAAAAGCCTGCAGGATCAGAGCTAGGATAACAAGATAAGAACTCCTAGCTACCAAAGAAAGAAGAAGATTCAGATAGGAAATGTTACAAGCAATCACCAGGTGAGTTATGCATCAATAGTTCTTCTAAATTGTGGCAGCTTTAATTTTGTAAGCCAAAGTCAAATAAATGATGTAAACAAATTAAGACCACTTAACATGATTTAAGAAAGCAACTAAATATCTGGAAGACCCATACACTAAGTTAAGAATATTTGATTGTGCTTTCATGTTGATTTCTGTCACAATTTCATCTTATGAATAAAAATACCTTTTTTGTTGTGGAATTGTCATCAGGGTAAGCCATTTTTATTTTCTTCTCCATGAGTTGCATTGTTCCAAAGAAAGCAAAATTCTCCACCTAATTCATAATTTGTTGTTGCAGATGATGCCCCTGTCTGCTTCTACATCAAAAGTGGACTCATGATGGTATTTCCAAACAGATATTAACTTATAATCTGCTATTTTGAATAAGATAAGGAATAGATGGAAAACAGAACAATGGAAAGATAATATAAATAGCAGCATTGACAAGATCAGCAAGTGGCCTGGAAAGTAGTATACTATTCAAGAAGGAGAAATCAAACCGAAGAAAGCAGCAACCTTGGAAAAGCAATACAATAGGACTCATGCCACTGTACAGTATGTACTAAAGCATATAATTAAGACCAACCTACCTTTCTTGTGCCACAGGCATTTGTTGTGGATCTCTTCTCTCTCTTCCTCCCCTCTGAGTTTGGAACGACTTCAACCTTAAGGGAGGAGCAAACATGTTAGTGTTCATCCACATCCATATAACACATCACCACAGGCTATCAAGAAGAGTGGTAAAGGTTTCCATGCAAGATATAACTGCTGAGGTTGGAACTGTGCGAACGATGCAGTTCAATTTCTTGGGTTGCAGCTCACTGACAGCAGTCCAAACTGCACGCAGGTCCATTTCAATATCCTAAGCATATCCCGCAAATCCCGGTAAACAGCCTTCTACTTGGGACTAAACTATAGACACAGCACCCGAAAACGTCGAAAGAATGCAGAGAATGCTGATAAGAGAGGAAGGAGAAGAGTGACGATGCGACAGTGATCATGAAAGAGAGTACTCCAAATTATTGGAAAGATTACACAATTGCCAATAGATGAGGAGGAGTGGCGATTGGTACAAGAAAATTGGTGGCCGGATGAGGCACATCAGATAACAAGACAGTGATTGAGGTATCCTCTTCCTTGGGCTCTCAGCTATTGTCTGTGTTGGTGGGGGAAGAATTGGGTGCAGGCCATGTAGGCACTCAGCGGAGTCGGGTAAGGCTCGAGCAATTCAGTGGCTGCAGCGGCGGTCGCAATGGTGGCGTCTCCGGTGCTGATATTGGTTATAGCAGCAGCGGCAGCAGCTGCTGGCGCTGGAGAAGAAGAGCCTTCGCGGTGGTGGAGCTGATAACGAGAGGAGGACGACGACGGGTAGTCGGCCTCGGGGCCGTGATCATAGAGTATTCCCTTGAAGACATGGCCGCCGATGCTGACGGCGGTCTGGTACGCGTACACGTCGTCCGGTTCGTCCACGTGGCTCACCCGCACGCATCGGAACATCGCTTGCGTGCTCACCTCCGGCGGCAAGCTCTCCGGCTCGAGGCTTCCTCCTGCAACATCCAGTCAAGTAAATAGGAGCACTCCGACTCTTGTTGTGCCAGAAAGGAAAGGGTAAATTGGAGAACATGTGGTGGGCAGCGAGGGAGGAGTAGAGAGAATGGGGCTGCGCGAAGGATTCTGCTAATAGTGGTGCGGATAACAACGACAGTGTTAGGCGCTGCTAAGGAGTAGTAGGAAATTGTAGTACCATACGTGGTGGTGGTCGCCAAGGCGTTCGGTATTCGGGTGCAGGCCGTGATCTCCCTGGGACGCTTGAAAGGCTCGCTCCCTCCGCTGCTGCCCTCGGCCGCGGATCTGCCGCCCCCGCGGTGGCGCTGGTCTTGCTGCACCGAGGCAGCGGCGGCGGCGAGGTGCTGCTGGCGCTCGCGGCGCTTGGTGGCGGGGATCCAGGTGCTCTTGACGTGGGTGGTGCACTGGAAGCCGCGGCTCTTGCAGCAGGTCCGGCACCTCATGTGGGCGCAGTCCTTCTTGGCCTGATTGCCGCAGTCCTGGCAGCTCATCCCCCCGCTGCCGCCTTCCAGGCTTCCTCGCGTCGGCCGCGACGCCACGGACGGCATCTCATTCGGGAAGCCCGCGGCGGAGTAGAGCTGGTGATCCCGCTGGATCTGGTGCTGCTGCCACAGCTCGAAGCCTCGGGTGTAAGCCACGTCCTCTCCCCGGCTCCCGCGACCGCCGTAAAGAAAGAAGCCCTCGGTCGG